GATTTTTGGTTATGTTTGTACACTTCAAAAGATACTATAAAATCGTTCCGTTATACGATGGAAGAAACAGTACAAGTAATTGCGGAACATAGAAACAGCACTGTTTTATGACGTCACATTGTCAGTACTGGCAGTGAATATCGGAATGCACCCAATATAGTAGCCTCTCTCTCCAGCTGCTTTGTGCGCATGCGGTGAACATTCAAGCACGCTTGCGCATTTCTCTTTCTCGCGTTCTTTCTCTCACTTTCCAATGCTTTATCTCGCTCGCACTTACTTGGTAGATGCGCCTGCGCATAATGACGCTCGACTATCTCTGCCCATATTTGGACTTCGTGCGTCTCCCTTTCTCGGGCCTCTCATTGCGAAGATACGCGACTAGCCACGACTGGAAGACACGGAGAAAAAAAACCAAGAAATAGTTTTTTTCGTGCCTCGACCTCAACTTTCAATTGAGTGTAGGCCGAACTCGATCGGTTTAGCCGTTCTTAAGATCTCAAAATCTCGAAAACTCTTTTCGGCCATTCTCGCGTATAAGAGGTACGGGGTACCTCGCACAGCGCGCGCACTTTGTTTGCGCATATACTTGACACGAGGCACTACCGTGCCTCTTGATATAGCAATTTCCGTAATAGTACGTGCTATGTGGGATGTATACAGTATATGTATAGTTATATATATTTATACGTAATAAAAAATATATTAAAAGAATAAAACGATACGTAAATACACTCTTAATAATTCACTAAGTTCTCGAAAATTAAAAAGGATTTTATATGAACATCCATTACACATCTGTCTGTCATTTATCATGAAGGTAAATGTCGCACGGAACTATATAAATATTTTTTATGCAATAATAAATGGTCAGTTATATAAATAATAAAAAGCTAAGAAAATATATTTTTTAATAATTTATTAAGTTTAAAAAAATATATATATTCCCAGCAAACAATTTGGTTGCGAGATGTCACGGTTTTGTCGCCAACCGCTGGCGAAATTTGTAGACCAAATCTATATCTATCTGTGTCCTCATTAGGATATGGTTTGGCCATATCTGCCAAACATGTGTAACGATGCTATCGTTACGGCCGGAACCGACCATCCGTCCCGGTCCAAAAACGGCGCATAGCGCCTAATAAAATTCAATAAATTACAGCGTGTATCAATACACCATATATGTAATACTCCTATATGGCTAGTTGAGCAAGTTTTCCATAAGCGGGACTTGTTCCAACACTGAAGGATAGAAGATAGATGCTTATTGGCTCTCCAAGAAAGAGTAGGAGGAGTGTTCAATAATTGGTAATGCGCAAGCGTTGCG